AGCTTCATATGGCCTGTCACATATAAGTAATCTAAAATATTTAAGAAACACTATGTATTATTATTATTATTATTATTATTAGTAGTAGTAGTAGTAATAGTAGTAGGTAGTAGTAGTAGTAGTAGTAGCAGCAGTATTAGTAGCAGTAGTAGTAGCAGTATTAGAAGTAGTTGTGGTTTGTGGTGACAAGAATTGCTAATGAACATTGACTAAGATGTGCTTAAATGAGTGTATATGTTAGGCAGTTAGAATTCATACTTGAAAAAAAATGGACACTTTTTTCTCAACTATTTTTTTCAACTATCCTCTCCTTGAAAAAGACCACCTGGCTAGTGGGCCAGATAATTTGGGTTTCAGACACCTGTCCTACACCAATTAAAGCTTTTTCATTGAACTGTTTGTCTAAGCCAAAACCATTTAGAAACAATAATAAAGTTTGTGGTTGTGTATTGTTTGCTGAAATGGTGTTTGAATCATTCAGTAGCTTTTAGGATTTTAGATGTTTTGTTCAACACAATTTAAAAACCAATCTGCTTCCTTAATTTAGCATGTCAATCACATAGCATAATTATAACTCCCCACCCTTTACTTTACCCTGTGCATTTAATGAGAATAGATGGCTGTTGGGATAGACTTTAAGATGACAGAACTGCCTGATTAGCCAGTGATCCTGACCTGGCTCAGTGTACCGTTCCTGTAAAGGTGCCCCTGGGTCAGGAGAAACGCAGTGGCTGTCATGCTCCAGTAGGCAAGGTTTCGTCCTCTAAGGGCTCTGGATCCATAGAGTGCATCCGGTTCTGCTTCTCTGCCTCTCCAGGTCTTCGTGAACACAATCTGAGACGAGCATGGGGGGAAAAAGAGATGTTAACCTGCTGTAGGAGGAACACATTCTCGGCAAACACTTTCCAGCACCTTGGGGACTCCCGACAATGTCTTGCCGGTATTATTTTGCACTCGTACAAAAAGTACTAGTACCATCACAAATGTTTCTTCTGTGGGAACAAAATGCACACTCAGATATAGTTTCATATCACAGCCTGTTGTACTATCAGCTTTTAACAATAGTTTCATTAGCAACACATCAAAAGCAATTTCTGTTTATAACAGTTCCTTGCTTAGTTATTTTGATGTGGCAGTGTTTCATATGAAGTCTTTTAACACCTAATTTTCAGTCATTTGTACCGCAAAGCTCCTTCACCACAAAGGAGCAGCCGTGAGCCACTGGGGAAGTGGCCTGTCTGTGAACTGCGTACTCAGATAGGATCAGTATATTTGGTATGCAGGGTGCAAATGATCAAACCTCATGAGTCACTTTAATACCTCTGCTCTGCCAAATATATAAGTTTATAATACCTCGCACATTAATTACAGATGTAATTAGGCTGACTTTAAAAACTTCATTCATAAGTGCAATGGACTTTTTACAAATGCGTTTGCAACTCTGGGGCTTCTGTGCTTCACTAACTGTAACCAAATAATAGAAATGATCAACAGTCTATTATTCATATACAGTTTATGCACAGGAGCAATTTAAACTCTCATTTGTGGAAAACAGAATTGCTTTGTTTTAACTAACTGACTAATAAGAGTGAGACTGCACTAATCAACTTGCCGGACATGATATGCACATAAATAGACTATCGTAAATGTTAAATCCCTCTATAGATGTGGATTAGATTTGGCATACACACCACACACACAGTTGCTGTCCAATTTCCAGTAAAAACAGTCATTAAATACAAGTTATTAATTGTTTCAGAGGATATTTCTGAGGGTATTAGATATAAAATAATCCACTTGCAATAAGGTGGGGAAAAATCAAAGGAAAATAAGTGAAAAACAGGAGTTTCCATAATTAGAGTTCAAAAATGATACATTTTGATATAGAGAAAATGGGTTTCATAACATTTGTTCAATACATGGTAGACCACCAATCAGATAAACAGTATGCAACACTTTCATCTTTGAGAGTGAGGAAAAAAACAAGCTCCACTCTTGCTTCAGATCTGAAAATAATCTGTTACCGAGAAAAGGAAATATACAAAACAGGTAAGAATTAGCAAATCAAAGCAAGAAGCTGCTGGTGTTCTCAGAACAATGGACTGACTACCCCATGAATCCAGACCTCAACATCACTGAATGTGTTTGGGATTACTTTGAGAGTATTATGAGAAGCAGAAGATGCAACCAACAAAGACTGAACTTGAAAAATAAAAAACTGAAAAATATTCCTGCATATTTCTTTGAAAAACTGAAAGCAAGTCTCCTGAAAAACACACACACACACACACACATTTTCTTAACCACTTATCCTTCTGGGTCGCTGGTGCTGGAGCCTATCCCAGCAGTCATTGGGTGGAAGGCAGGATACACCCAGGACAGGTCGCCCCAGGTCCATCACAGGGCAGACAGACAGACATGTACATTCACACACATATTCACACCTAGGGGCAATTTAGCATGCCAATTGGCCTGACTGCATGTCTTTCGACTGTGGGAGGAAACAGAGTGGAAACACTAAATACTAAATGTTACAAAAAAGAAATTATACATAGTTGTTTTCTGTTAAATATGTTTTTTTTTGCTTTTTTCCCTCCTGACACAACACCACAAAAAACTTTGTACCTAATGGTTGTTTTGGCTTTGCATACACCTATCCAAGTGGCACCTAAGCAAAGCATTTTTGTAAAACTACCATATAACATAAGGATGCCATCACCAGAAGACTTGATTTAATTTAATGAAGGATTGATTGAGCCCAACTATTTTGGATGGTAACTGTAAATACCTGGCTGCTGTGAAAAGAAGCTTGGAATAAAACACTGACGAATATAAAATCACTACTTATATTAATGTAATCTGTATTCATTCTAATATTTTTTTCTGAGCAAATAAATGTCTACTGCCCAAATAAGCAGCTTTTTTAAATCTAATTTTCTCAGGTGCATTATACTTTTTCCTGCTGTACTGTACTATGTATATAAATAGTAGAATACATTCTAGTACATTTAAAATAGATATTGTTTCTTGCAGTAATTCCTAACTCCATATATCATCTTTAACGGGACTCCTGACAGAGCTATGTGTTTGATTCAATTGCCATGATTGAGTTAATGCCAAATCTTTCCTAATGCAATTATTACCCTGCCATTGCTTTTGTTCTATTACATTTTGGTCTTAATTCGTTGCTGCTGATGTGTGTGCAAAATTATTGGCCCATTTTTTTTCTCAGCTTCAGTTTCCACTGACAGCATTATGATGCAGTGCAGTGCTGAAATGCTGTAGGCTACATGAGAACTGCCCAGCTGGTTCATCATCATTAGACATTTTTTATATTTTTCCAGATGGAAGATGATGGTAGCGGCACAGTGGCTAGAGCCCCAGACCCTGCACTAACGGCTTTGGAGATGCAGGCAGGTGCCTAGACCTTCAGGCCTGTGCCCAGTGTGTGTGGCAGGTGTGAATGAGTCGAGCTGATCCATGCTGTTCTAGTTAATGGATCTGAGCAAGACACCTAAGCCCATGTGCTCCACGAGTGTCTTTCAGTTTGTGGATATGAGTGATTCGAGATGGGGAAAAGCGCAGTGAAAGAATCCTAATGGACCTGTGTAAACTGCAGAAATAAAACCCCCTTCTTCAAATATTTAGTGTCACCCTGTGGAGGAAAGCAGACACTACATCTTGTTTTAGAGCTTTAGTTCACTACTATCTGTGAATATCACTTACAGTCTTACTTTATTGCTTTGTCGTTTAACACTGAGATCTGTCACATATAAATAGTTTTCCTCCATAGCCAAGTAGTTTCACTCTGTTTACAGTTAGTTTCTAAATGAACCAATCAAGTCCATACAGTCCATATATTAAAAGTAAGCTGCAAAAACAGCCTGTTTTGAATTAATTGTTTTTTGATGTCACAAAAGCCAACAGGTTTACCTATACCTGCCCATTCATCCTCCAGCATTGTGGCACAGCCCATTCACACTGAAGTTATAAGGAGTGTTTCAGTCTGGAATAAGCCTTAATGCTGTCAGAACGAAGGCAGAAATGTAAACTCTTTAAGGTCCAATAATGGTCTTAAGGCCCAATTGTGAACAATAAATGACTTTTAAACATCATCTGCATCCATGTTCCCAGGGGAAAGGAACATATATGTACCTTTTCATAATTTAAATTGTTTTAAATACAAAAGTTAAATAAATCTGGACTCAAGACAGTGTCTATGGAGTTAATGCAGCTTTAAAAAATAATTGCAACAGAATAGTACAGTTACTAATTAAAGGTACTGAAGATGTTTCCTTGAGTACCATCCCAATGACTTCAGGCCACCTTCCGATTGACAAGTTTTTCTGAGAGTGTTCAGGGCACCCAATCAGAACAGTGGTCGTTTACATATATCAGTCTTAGAAGCTGAGTAATGAAAACAGCCTGTTTAATTCTAAGGGATAAAGAGAGGCTGGAAATTGTCACATAAAAAAGAATTATAACTGTTTTTGAAACATAAAACCACACAAATATCATAAGTTGACATTGATATTTATATATATAAGCTATCAGTCCTTTAAGAAATGAGCATGTTGTCTGTGTAAACTCTTACCATATTAGAAGGATCTTGCTTTTAGTATTCAAAAACCTGTAAACCTGAATGAACAACTAACAAAAGTACCACCTCGGGAATAACGTCATACCCCATGTGTTTTAAATTCCTAGATCACTCCAAAGCATTTCTGGCCTTTAAACCACCTTTGGAGAAGTAACAGTGGAAACATACATACATGCATACATTACCTTGAAAGGTCCCAAACCTTTTGACCTGCAGAATCTAACTCACATTTTACCTCTTATTCTGTCCTAAATTTCTGTTTGAACGAATTAGAAAATGTTTTTGATCTTTGAATTGGCACTGTGGGCTATCGGCTTTAAGGAGCACTGTCAATGACCCCGTTGCTTTCTCATGCTCTAATCAGAGAGGAGTGAAGCAGAACCAGTCTTATCTCTGTGTTTACGTACACACGCTCACTCTCTGGCCTGTTCTTCGCTACAGCCGTGAGAGACGAGGCATGCTGTGCCAGACAGACCACCAGCGAGAGAGCTTCTGTCAGCCCTACTTCGGCTTCAATCCGAAGATGACATTGCAACATTAGCCAGATTAGAATTGACTGCACAAGGTAAGTCTATTTCTCCAATACAGTGAACTGCTATGAGGCTTGTCTGTTTAGTTTAAGTAAACAGATTGGGGGGAATCATAAAGCAAGATCTCTTAGATAATATAGTCAAGTCTATCCAAAAGGAGGAGTTAGGGTCATTCTTGTTGGACTGTTCTCACTTTGTGCTTAAGTTATCCAGTTTACTGAGAGAATTTTTGCTTTGTGAAACGAACTGTAGTCTCTAAATGTACATCTATAAGGTGTACCAACAATTGTCAGTAAGAGTACACAGTGTTTAAAATCTTCAGCAACTGGCCATCTGGTCAGCGGTCGTCCCATTGATGGATGGGTAGAGGGTGGTGATAAATGGTGCACTATGATGAGCTACAGTCTGTAACTGTAAACCTACATAGTGTACCTACAGTAAGTGTTTGTAAGTGTTCCCTCTGTACGGTAAGTGTTCATGATAAAATGACCACTGAATGTAAATCTTAATGAAGACAAGGCAGAAATACTCGTAAGTGGTAATGACACAAAGAGAAGCAGATGTTAGAAATGTTGGTGAGCTTCTCAACCCTGATGTAACTTTTAAACCACTAATAACATCACTATCTAAGGAATATAGCACAGGTGAGAGTCTACCTCTGGGATTCCATTAAACTGATTCATGCTTTTGCTTTTTGACGATTGCAGTAAATTGCTCACAGGACTTCCTCCAACTGCAACCAAAAAACTATAACTTGTGCAAAATGCAAGAATACTAACACGTACTGGAAAACGAGATCGTATTTGATCAGTTTTGGCAGAACTCCTGTGGCTGCCTTTTTATTTAAGAATTGACTGTAAAATGTTAGTATTCATTTTTAAATCTAGAGCACCTGGATTTATCTTTAGATGCCTGATAAACTATGTTCCAAATCATGTCTTTACATCATCTAGTACTAACCTTCTCCATACCCCACATATAAAACTTGAGTGGTGAATCAGTCTTTTATTTTATATTTCCCACATTAAAATTAAATATTTGTCAGGCTTCTTCTATCACTGATTAAAAAAAAAAATACTGCATAAACAATTTTCTTCATTTTAGCTTTTAGCTAGCATTTATTACTTTCCTTACTCTTACTGGCATGTCACTTTTAAATTACTTAAAAAAAAATTGATGTACCTTTTTCTATTATTATTATTACTATTACTATTATTACTATTATTATTATTATATTTTTCATCACTGCTTTTATTTTGTGCATGTTTTAACATTTGTTTTAATGTCTCAGTTATTTTTTTAATTAAATTTTGTTTCTTTTCTTACCATATTTTTCATTACATTACACTGTAAAGCACTTTTAACCACTTGAACTGCAGATTTATTATTCAGTTATTAATCCATTATGAATTTTTCAGTATTTACTATAAAACACTTTATAGTAATGCTTTATTTTGGTTTATGCCTTCAGTTTAAGGGGTGAAAAACAAGGTGAGCATTTATTCATCAAAAACAGGGGACCAACAAAGTAAAGTGTTACCATGCTACCATGTTTCATAGTAGATACTGGAAAATTCATAACTGGAATAGTAACTGAATATTAAACCTGCAATTGAAGAGATTAATGTATGAGTGCTATATAAATAAAATGTATTATTGTTATTATTTATTATTATTAGGTACAAGGTAGGTGTACCTAATACACTGTGACCTCAGTGTAAAGTCTGTGGTGTCTGTTGTGTCTTCCTGAGTCTGTGTCCTCTTGTCACACCTCGCTCTGCCTGTAAATGAGGGATCTAACGTGACCGTCAAACATGAGTCCTGGCATGAGCTGTTGTGGTTCTTTATGTATTTGTCTGGTAAATACTGTCTCTCTCTCTTTCACTCTGTGTCGTTTTGATGTGGGCATTATTTGTGAGTCTCTGTTCACTTGTTTGCACTTTAAAGGCAAAAACACAACTGTCTCTTTCAGCTGAGCTTATTTGCTTTTCCACTGTTGGTGCAGCCACTATCCATTATTCTGCCTGCTTGGTGGTGCAGTCGACGCAGCTGATATGAATTCATGCTGCCTTGTATAAATAACTCATGCTACAGAATATACATAAACCATTGGCTCGGAATAATTGTCTGTGACCTGCTTTCATATCACACTGAACTGAAAATGAAATGAGAAGAAACACGGGAAAATAAAAAAGACTTGAATTATTGCTAGCTTTGCAGTTAAGTCTGTCAATTGTCCAGCAAGCCAATCCATTGTTCAACTGAAATGATCTTTGCAGGTGGCTTTCACTGTTTATAGCAGTATTATTACTTTTGTTCATTGATTTGAAGTGGCGTTTTCAGAATGACTGGAGAGAACATGGCGTCGTGTGTGGTGGTCACTGTGTTGGTTCTGTTGCTGGTGAGGTCAGCTCATAGTCAGCATATGGCAGAGGAGCCCTGCTCAGTCCAAATCCTCGTTCCAGGACTCAAAGGTACCCCACACAACACAACATATTGACAAACATGAGAAGCATGAGTAGTGGTAGTCCAACAACTTCACTATGAAGAGGTTAAGGGTGCACTTGTAGCTGATGGCTAAATGCTACCATTAAGCCCTTGAGCAATGCACTCTTCCATAAGTTTCTACTGGGGGGAAACTGTCCCTGGCCATCATAAATCGCTTTGGGCAAAAAGCGTCAGCTAAATGTAAATGACCACAACACTGCATCAGCTAAATGTAAATGTGTACTTCCATCTGGTACAGCTGTGAAATAGCAGGGGAACTGGAGTTCGCACTCAGATGGCTGCTTGGTACAATGTAATGTTATGAAATGCAGCCGATGAGTGACTGCAGTGGCCTTCAAAATAAAGTATGTGTGTTCTCACAGGAGAAGCAGGAGAAAAGGGAGAAAAGGGGGCACCTGGCAGACCTGGGAGAGTGGGACCACCTGGAGATACAGGTACTGTTAGCGAAAAAATCCTGAAAGTGTATGTCACACGCTATGTTTTCCTAATTGATCATTTGCAGATATCTTATGACAGACATATCAGCCACTTTATGGCAACTAGAAGAATGTGTCATAAACATGTCATGAGAGATGTTATCATTTCATCATGACAGTTAATTTTTAAAGATATTTAATGTATCTAGGTTTAATTTTAAACCATTCCTATTGGTCTTTTCTCTATTGATCATAAAATGGGTAACTTTCTTTTATAGTCCTTAAGTTCTAGATATTACCCAGGTAAGTGTGAGGTTCAAATTTCAAAGTACTAGGTAATTATTTTGGTTAACATGATGGTAAATTTCAAGACAGTCTAACTTAATCACACTAAAATGCCCAACAGGTTCTAGATATTTTTGGGTAAGTATGTGGTACAAACTCCACAGTACAGTGTAATTATTGTGGGTAAATAGTACAGGATAGTTGTTTGAACTAAAAATATTCTACATGGATAATACATGGATTGTACAATAAGTCTTATATAGGTTGTATCTCTTAATTATCTACAAACAACCCTGAATCTGGACTGTAAAAGAAAGTAATGATTCTTATTGTGGTTTTACTAAATCCTTACCATTTACTTTAGAGAAGTGTATTTGTGTTTTGTGCTGTCATTATATGTCACATAGCTACCTGGTACTTTGAGATTATCTGATTTACTTTCCTGCTTAAACATGTGACATGAAATTTAGTGTGAGAATATTTGCACTTAGCACTTGGCTACTTTGAAAATTTATGAGGTATTTTACTATGTTCTTTATCAGCTTAGTAGCTAGAACCTGTAATTTTGGTTTAATTTAGTCAGACTCTTTTGGTACGTATGTTCATGTACCCTAAAAAACTACACAGCAGTTTAGTTTACCTTACACTTATTAAAATATGGACCATTCTACCAAATTAACTCAAACTGCGGTCCTACAGTTAAAACAAACTATAAAACACTATAAACACTATAAAAAATAGGTATTTAGACCTTGTTTACACAATTGTTATGCTCAATTTAAACCTAAGGCATTAATTGAGATAGTAATAAGGTATATATCATTTACAAGGTACTTTCTATTAGGAGGTAGCTGTCCCAAATCTCTACTTCTAAACTTGTGAAAATAATACGTAATTCTTTTTTGTATTTTTTATTGTGTTTTTAAAGACTTTTTAAAATTTCTTTAACGTTGAAAGAATTAGATTATGAGCTAAATTTTTTAATTAAAAAACTTTATTAAAAAACACTGTTCCACGTTTTCATGTCACTACTGAAACATAAAGTCCACAGTCAGATGCTTATTTTAGCCACACCCCTGCATTTTAGAGCAAGAAGAGAGACTGCATTCCTGTCCCTCATGACCACATGGTGAGATCCCATTGTTTTGAAGTAAAAAAAAAAGATTTTAGTTATGCACTAAATTAGCTAAAATTGTCACTACTGAAACATTTGATAAAGTTTCGGTAGTGTTGTGATTATTTTGGCAGTGACAAAATGGAATATCCGATCATTTATTTTAATTAAGTACACATAATTAAGGCATAGGGCCATTCAAAGCGAAAGGATTTTAGTCTAAAGTCCGAAATGTGTTTTGAAATCTGACTCTGAACAATTTGATAGAGTGATCCATGTAGAACCTGTCGGGCAGTTCATTGTAATTCAGTTAAACTGTGTCAGTGTGATCACCACAATAATTACCTAGTACTGTAAGTTCCTCACACTTACCTGGTTAATAGAACTGGGGACTGTAGAGGCAAATGTTCACACAATGTAAAGGGCAACTGACATTTTCAAATGGTTAAAAAACAAAAAATTAGAACAGACAACAAAAGCATAGTCTGTCTAGAGCCAGTAGAATGGATACAAACCCAGACACAAGTGTCAGTGGAATTCTACTGATAGACCACATGACCACAAGTTTCTGCTGGGTTTCATCACACTTAGGGAGTGCAGACCTGCAGAATGTTTTTTAGTTCAAAGGTCATCTAGCTACACTGGCCAGAATGCAGTAATGATGACAAGTGTTTACTGCAGCTGTAATGAGGATTAAGTGATGCTTTACTAGGGGAACACAGAGAGAGAAGCCTGCCCTTTTCCTTGAATTTAGTTCTGCATTACAGTAACCCTTGACCTTCATAGAAGTTTTTACGCTTTGATTTGTACTTTAATGATGAAATTACAAGCAATGTTTTAATCCTTTAGGTCCTCCTGGACTCAAAGGACAAAAAGGTATCATGGGACGTTATGGAAAAATGGGTCCGCCTGGATTAAAGGGTAAAGTAGGCTACCGAAGAAAGTGCAATTCAGACAGTAATTAGTCTTCTGTGTTTTGAAAGTTTTCACAACTGCACTTGACCTTTTAACAGGTTTAAAAGGTGATATGGGAGATCCAGGACCAAAAGGCTCAGATGGAGAGCCAGGTAAGGGCTTTAAACAAGGAATGTGTTTTTTTAAAAAAAAACATTTTATAGAATTTAATTGGTAACACTTTACTTTGACCTTGCAACATAACACTGACATAACCATGACATAAACATGTCATGGCAAATGTCATATGCTGTCATGAACAGATTTCATCCTGTAACGTATCAGTGGTATGTTACTAATAACTATCAGATAAATGATGTCATGACAGCCTATGACACATGCTAATTATTCCCTAATTGCCCTCTATATCGCAACATATATCTTATGATAGATCTCCTAACAGTTCTTTTATGGCAACTAAAGGAATGTGTCATACATGTCATGACAGATGTGATCGTTTCTCATGACAGATTGTGTTTAAAGACATAACATTGTGACGTTAATAATATCTAATATATAAAAAGCTGTCATGCTAGGCGATGTCATTATCATATGCAAATGTTTTGTCATTGTTGTTCTTTCACATTTGCCAAGAATGTGTCATAAATGTTTCATGAGAAATGTAATAAAAGCTCTTTCATGGCAAATATAACCTAAACATATGACAATAGTCAATACCTGCCATAAGTTCCTAAAGTATTGTAAGTGGTGAGAAATTATTCATTACTCTTATTCAGACTGGGTTAGGTTATCAGGGGGATGGCTGCAATATGATTTTACACACCTCCTTAGTGATAAAACTCACATAGGACAGCAGTAAAATGGTTTTCAATCCTGAATGTTTCGGTCATGCTTTATTTTCTCTCTCCTCCTGCTAATGCTCTCCCACTGTATGTGAGAGGATGGAAATGAAGTACTAATGGAGAGAGTAAAGGGTCAAACCTTTCAATGTGACGTGAAATCTGGTTGGAGACCTTTATCCCGATTGGGCTAAAATGATCAAACCAGTTGAGTTTGGTGAAAAACAGTAGGTAATTTGGCCTGTAATCTCAAGTCATGCTTTCAGATGTGATGCAGCTCATGAGCTTGGTTTGTATGTCACTCACTCAAAAGATTTCCCCACAAGTGTGAGCCGTTTTAGCACTTTTAGCACCATTTAGGGAGGAAAGTGAAATTATATATTTTACTAAACATTGGCATTTGACATTCTGCTTGTCTCCTCAGGGCTCCCTTGTGAGTGTGCACCCTTAAGGAAGATGATCGGTGAAATGGACAATCATGTGGCACAGTTAACCAATGAGCTGAAGTTCATTAAAAATGGTATGTTGTTGAAATGCACCACAGCACAAAGCTTTACACCCACAACCCCTTCTCTCATCCCATATAAAGCAAACCCTGTCAAACCCTGATCCTAGTGTTTTCCTTGCTTTAATACAACTGATTCAACCAATCAGTTCACCAGTCATCAAGCGTGTTATGAGAATTATCAAGTGCTTCATTGAATCAGGTATGCTGGAAAAACATGCAATGATGTAGCCCTCCAGGAATGCAGTTAAACACATTGGTACAGAGGGAAGATACACAAACACAAGGTTATCTTCAATTACAAATATTTTGATAAGGACGATGACATACGCTTATCATCTACTTTATTACAAACACCGAACTCTACCTACACTCACTGGTCACTCTATCAGGTCCTGCTTACCTTATAGGTCCAACACAATCACAGACTGTAGCTCTTTTGTTGTCATGCATCTGTCAGCCACGCTCACCTCCAGTCATCATTGGTCACTGGTTTGAGCACAGGACCACTGTCCATATATTTAGTTAGTGGACCATTCTCACACATTACTGACACTAACACGGTGGTGGCATGTTCCTGTTCCTGTGGCGTGCTGCTGGTAGTGTATCAGGCACAGTGGTGTTGCGTGTTTTAGTGTCACTGGTGGGTTGAGAGTGGTCCACTATCCAAAAATATTCATCCAAGAGCTCGTGATTCATGAAGGACTATAGCACGGCTAAGGCCTGTTTCACACATACTACTTCTGTGTGACATGAGCGATGCAACAGCATGTATGCTATAGCTTACACGTGTTGACCATTCACACAAAGTGTTTGCACTGCAGAACAATACAGGACACAAGTTCTACAGACATCTTCCAAATGGACAGTCAAATCAGTTACTTTGTTTGATAAAAATATAATTTGTAAAAGAGCACAGTACATTTGTTTACCCCTGGCAGATTTCTGGAGTAGTGATTGGGCAATTGTTTCAACCCTGGAAGGCCTACAGGGAAATGTGTATGCAGCACAAAATGTCCAGCCAGTATTTTGTTTGGTAACAGTCATAAATTGTAGAATTTGCATCTTTTGAAGCTTTATATTTGGTTTTCTGAGGTTGTTATCATTGGTGATAGTTTATTTCACTGTAATTTGCTATGTGGAACAGGAAGAAAAAAATAGGCTTGGTGCCTATTTTCTAAATGCCATGCCATAACACTGTGGGAATGCTCTGTTAATATGAGTGCCAAAATGAAAAGCAAGATGTTCTATGGTGCTCACACCATGTAGTGGTAGTATGTGTGAAACAGGCCTAACACAAATTGTAAATCAGCAGATGACTTACAGTCTCTAATTGCATACCAGCAAAGTGGAGCTACACAGTAAGGGTTATCTAAGTGGCCAGTGCATATATATTAGGGGTTAAATCCCATTCTTACCCAATTCTAGTTTTTCTCTACTTTCCAGTAGCTCATTGGCCGTTCATCTGGCACTTTATTGAATCAGGTATGCTGGAAAAACATGCAGCGATGTAGCCCTCCAGGAATGCAATTTGACACCCTGGTACAGAGGGAAGATACACAAACACAAGCCTGTTATCTCCAATTACAAATATTTTCATTCAGATGATCACATACGATGGCTTTTTCCTACACAAACAGCATTTTGCAAACTGACAAAAGCAGTTAGTCAACCAATACCTCTTTTTTTGTTCACTTCTACAATGCACTATTGTGTACGCTGGGTGCTGCATTGTGATTACAGAAATACAAGTGCTCACTTTTCAGCACTGCCCTCCCCCGCAGCTGTCGCTGGCGTCAAAGAGACAGACAGCAAGGTGTATCTGCTGGTGAAGGAGGAGAAGCGGTACAGAGATGCTGAGCTGTACTGCCAGGGCAGGGGCGGGCACCTGGCCATGCCCAAAGATGCTGCTGCCAACAGGGCCATCGCCGGGTACATCACAGAGGCCGGCCTTAGCAGAGTGTACATCGGCATTAATGACCTGGAGAGCGAGGGCCACTTTGTGTACGTGGAGCGCTCGCCTATGAGCACCTTCAGCAAGTGGAGGGAAGGAGAGCCCAATAACGCCTATGAGAATGAGGACTGTGTGGAGCTGGTGTCTTCAGGCGAGTGGGTGGATGTGGCCTGCTCTCTCACCATGTACTTTGTGTGTGAGTTTGACAAAGACCGGATTTGAGCATCATCGGATTTGGTGCTCTCACAGTGGGACACAAATGACAAAAAGGTCTTTTTTTGCAGCCTTAAAATGCAAGTGTGTAATTACTTTGACAGGACTACATTTAATGGGCAATGCAGGGCAATCATTTCATACAGAACGACAAGTAAGGACATTTCTTTTCATGGAAAATATTTCCACGTAGAACAAGTCATTTGACTGAGGGTGTTCAAGCTTTTGCATATGACTGTTACCACCTTATACCTTCTTTATTAATAGTACACTGTCACTGTATTGTTATGGTACACTCTTTTATGCATTCAGTTTTTTTTCTTGGTTTTACATAGTGTAGTTAGTCTTTAGGGACTTCCAATTCATTAAGAAATGTCTGATAAAATTAGAATTTTATGTTATGTATTGTGATTTGTCTTGTACTACGATGTATTTTTGTAAAGTCACAAATAAATTTGTACTAGTTTCAAGCATTTGAGTTACTAATCACCAAAAGCACCAATAAAAACTGCGTGGAGACTACAACGCCTTTCCCCTGCTAGTTCTGAAAGGCAGTTTGTTGTACGCTGCTGCCCTCTAGCGGCCATGGAACGTCAAGGCCTGCCTATAAGCAAACGCATTTTAATGATGTCCTGTTTTAACACACCCACTTTAACTCCATAATGGGCTGTTAATGAGCTGGATCAGGTGTGTTGGGAGCAGGGAAAACACTGAAAAGTGCGGAGCCGTGGGCCTCCAGGACCAGGGACAAGAAACACTGATTTAGCAGACTTTCTGGAAAAGATTTGTTAATTTAAGAAGGACAAACAGCGTATCGTACTTGTGTGCCAGTTTTCCTAAAGTCTTTAAAGTTGAAAGATGAGTTTAGATTGCACTGTGTTGGCTTACAGAGCTAGAGCCGGATTAAGCTCGATTTTCTGACATCATAGGGAAAAAAGACATTATTTCACTCTTCCGAAATTCTAGACGACTGGTATTAAGATTACGCATGACCTTTTTGTTCCTCCGTCTGTCCAATCAAAAAGTCCAGCCCATGTTGTGGGTGACTGAGCTTAACGTAACACAAACCTTTCTACTGCAATATTTAGGGGCGCTACTTCGAGCAGACAGTCTCTGAGAAAACGGTTACAGCATGTAAGCTAATGAAAGACGTGGAGTTTGTATTAGACTCCACAATGACAGTGCACACAATGTAAGTTAGCTCTAAAATAGCGTCTTAGTTATAAAATGTGATACCTTTGACGTCGGTTGCTGCATATGGGAAAATATAAATAAATAATAATTAAAAGTGAAGAAAATAACATTTATACATATAGCATTGATTTACATACCCTATAAATGTGTATATTTAAGGCAAAGTCTACAATAATTAATTATTTATGCCATTAACTGGAAGCTGTCCGGTCAAATACATAATTAGCTCCGCTGAAATCTCCTGTTAGCTCTTTAGTGTCAAAGGCTACACTACGTGATTGTGGACAACGCTGGTGATTCAAGTTTAATGAGCAAGACTGAGCTATATTTTAATACTGAAAACTCTTTACAAACTAACTCAGTGAAGAAGTAGCTAACTGCTAACTTACTTAGCTAGACGGTAACCTATATTTCTAATCGCGTTTTTCTACTCGGTTTCCATGGAGATGTATAAAGGAGCGTTAGAGCGCTGTTAGCTTATCGGCTAATCACATGTAGCTAATGTTCACTCCAGCCAACTCCTCACAGCACCTAACACCTCACACGATGCTCCTCTTTCACGGGATAATGTTTACCCTGTGAACTCACTCACGCACTCTTTGGTAGCTCGTATTATTTACCGCCCAGAATGTCAGAAAGCTCTGGCCGGGAGTTTCCTCCGCAGCCTCCGGCTACCAAAACCATCGTTGTGTACAGGAACGGGGACGCTTTCTATCCTGGCAAAAGGTTTGTGATCAACCAGCGCCACACTGCGACTTTTGAGAGTTTCCTGAGCTCGGTTACACGGGGTATTGAGGCTCCCTTTGGAGCTGTGAGGAACATTTACACTCCTGAAGAAGGCCACCGAGTCCTGGCACTGGAGCAGTTCTTACACGGGGAGAGATACGTTGCAGCTGGAGCTGAACGGCTGAAAAAACTGGAGTAAGTTCATTCACCTCACACTAACAGGATAACAGTTACATTAATAGTGTGTTTTATACTGGAACTCTAAGTAACACTGCTAATAACTTATTATAAATTAATATATTGAGGCTATGAGTTATGAGAAACCTAACTTGTGGCCTCAATATATTAAATTTGTGGCCTCAATATAGTAATTTGTGGCCACACCTTATTAAATAATAAGCACTACCCCTTAGGGGTTCCGTAGTACAGCCTAAATTAAATCTAAAGGCCATAGTTTAAAATACCTGAATACTTTTTAGACTAAAATATATCTTACCTCATGAAGAGACACTGAGGAAGAAACAACTTGCAATGCATCATCTTGGAAAATCACAGTGGACCTTACAGTAAAGCTAAACTGTGTTTTTTTTTTTATAGCTACTATCGTATAACAGCAAAGAGACCACAGAGAAAGGAAAAGAAACAGGTAACATGTTATGAGGAGAGAAGGGATCCATAAAATTACTGTGCTGAACTGAGTGAAAACTAAAATATTACAGAAAAAATGAGATGATAGTGTTATTGGTGCCATTCAGTTCTATATTTGCACAGACAGTCCTGTTACATTCAGTGGACAGTATATGATTTTAGAACCACAAAGCTATTGCTTTTCTAGCTCATTCACCGAAGCCTAGCTACATCATGTTTTGTGTGTCAGCATTGTAGACCTAATTGAGAGACAAATTTCCGAGGCAGAGAGCCATAACAGTGTTTCAATGTGATTTGGGCTGCTGTGCCACCATTACACGAAGATTCATGCCATGCATTTTTCATAAATGACTCACTTTCTCAGATCAATACACTCCTCTAAATGAATTACAGTTCAGCGTGTGACCACTGCATTGCCTGACTGACTTCATGCCTCTCTCGTTCGTTTAAGAGTAATACTGAAGATAGATGAGACAAACAAGTCTATTGACAACACTGTGTAGCCTCAAGTCGAATGATTGTCCTCTGTCTGTAACAGCACATGCCATGAAATGTGACCTGCAGTAGTGTTTATTATCTGTTGTTGAACATGTTTTATGTGATGCTGTAGTTTTCTTGGATCCCTTAAGTGAGCTTAAGCAGTCTCAGTTTAACTAAACTTGGTGATTATGATCGATTCTCCTCTGAGTCACCTTTTAAGTCCTTACGCCTGCTTAATGCATGAATACCAAACAACATAGCCTGCACAGCTCTGCTATTATAGCTTCAGAGTGTCGGAAGTATGTCAGATCTCCAAATGAATGACAGAGCAGTACGTTCCACGGATGCTCAGCGGGGAACTGTTCATTTTGTCTCCATCACAGATTCGACCTGTGGTTCACAGCAAAATAATTGTCCCAGCACGCTGGAGGAAAAACATTAATGAGCCATGCACCATCAAGTGAGTTTTAATTTCAGTGTCTCCCTGTTGGAATTTCTTGCTGGCAAACCCTCAGGCAGGAGTGAAGTCTTACTTCTAATGGCACATGAATAACATCACATCAGAGCACTGTTTCCTGGTTGACTTTTTCCATCATTCATCTAATGTATTTGCATGGTTCTCCTTATCAAAAAGTGTTGCCACTTTTCAGTCAGTATGAAGTTAAACAGATTTCCGAAGTGAGTTCCTGAGTTCCGAATGTGATTGTTTTTTGTAGTGTTTTTACCAATGGAGATGTCTTGGTTCCTCCAGCTCGGATACTGCTACCAAAATATACACTCACCAGCTGGGAGAGGGTACTGGCCATGGTAACGGAGAAAGTTAATCTTCGCACGGGTGCTGTGCACAGGTAGGAAATATGCACTTTCTTTTCACTTGAGAATTTAGAAGTCGACTACAAATGTTTTTGCTGATTTCACTGCACTGTGCATCTCTGGCAGGTTGTGCATGTTAGATGGGACTCCGTTACTTGGTGCAGCTGAACTTGAGAACAACCACTATTACGTAGCTGTAGGAGCAGAGAAGTTCCGACCGTTGTCTTATTTTCAGTGGGTTCCAAACAAAGGAGTAATCCTAGACCTCAACGATGCGTAAGAACATTTCAAAATGATGTGACTGAGACACATCTATTTATAAATTGTTGATTTCATAAGAAAACCTTAACTTTTTTGGGAGGTTTTATTTTTGAACTACTTTTTCACGTCACAGATTTTCTTTATATTGTATGAACATTTAATGATGAATAGAAATTTTGAAAAGCAGACCTTTCACGTTCTTTTTAAGTTAAATTAAGTTGCAGTAACAGATGTTATCTTTAAAATTATAATTTCAGAGATATGATGTTTTATTACAACAGTGACAAGACAGAGAAGTACTGATATGGACTTATTGACATTACGTAATTTCTTTTATACTTAACGTTAACACTTTTGTTTTTTTGTTTTTTTTAGTGTCATGAATGAAATTCTTCCACCCCTAAAGAGTGGCAAGCCTCCGAGACACAAGGTAAGTCTCACAACAGTATCTTGCAACACAATGGATTGCTGTAACTTAAAATCTCTATAGCGCACCTCTGGTTAGTTTTACAAACAATAAGAGAATTCAAGATATTTTTTCCCACAATGTTGTGCTCATTAAATGATGCCTCAAACATCAGGGATGAAGTAGATGGTAGTTGCAATGTCCTGACCCAGTTTTTTTGCCCCCCAATCCCAAGATTGATATTCTGCCAATATCAGATCCTGAGATCTTTCTTTTTTCATAGAAATTACAGCCACACAATGCACACTTCAGGTATGTTAAAGTTAGTAAACCAGTCCGTTACCCAAACTTTTGGAGACCAACTGGTGACATCATTTCTTAATAAAAATAAAGGACATGAGCATAATTTACTAAGGTGTGGAATTGTAATATATGGTCATAACTTAGTAAGGCGTGGAAGCAAGACATTTAAGTCCATGACTTAATTATCTTGTTCCTACACCTTATTAAGTCATGCCTACAACTTACTAAGGCGTGGGAACGAGATCATTAAGTCGTAGCTACGACTTATTAGAGAGTGAGAATGAAGTCGTTCTCATGCCTTACTAAATCTTGGCAAACCAGTAATTTAGGTAAGAAATTGTAGGCTGTTGATTACTTCAAAATGATACAGAAAACGTTACAGTAAATTAGCAATGAGATAAAATAACCTTAACAAAAGGATAACAGCTTGATCAGGGTTAATAGTCACTGACCTTTAATGCATCTTAATCGGCTTCAACACCAACATTTCAGATGGGATAAGGAAATGCCTTATTAGAATCAGTGATCATACTTAGAAAGGTGTGACCATTCTGAGTTTCAACTTGAAAAAGAAAGCTGGTGTTTACAAGATTCTTGTTCTCTGCTGTTTGTGTGTGGACCACCAGTTTGTTGAGAGACACATTACTCTCCCAGAATCTCAATAACATCTCCAGTCAGCCCAGTCTCTGGCAGTTGGAGTGGTGGACAGGGAGATTCTTTTCATCAATCACTGTCTGTAGGAGGCATTGAGTTCCTCTCAGCTCCATCTCTATCAGGCAATCCCAATGCGCCGTACCCGCTCCATTTGATCAAGTGCAACCAGTCTTCCGGGCTTACCACCATCAACAAGGGAGCACGCTGAAACTCACCCTCACTCCCACACAATGAGGATAAATTGTTTTGAGATGGAGTTGTGGGTGGAAGTACGCGCTTGATGCTTCAGGACGGTCCACACTTGGATAAGACCTCACAAATAAGACTTGGAGAAATAATGCACCTTCAGCAGTTTGGGGTTGGGACCGCTCCGAAAAGAAGTGGGTGACATCTGTTTATCGTAAGCTAGAAAAATGACAGCCATGTGCGTGCCAATTGATGTGACGGGGGAGAAAGCTCTTGTGGCCGCTCCATAGGTGTTGTTCTCTAATTGACTTCTCATGCATCATCAACTTGATTGAGAGGAAGAAATAATTTGGAGAAAGTGGCAAATTATCTTTGGTAGAATGAAGATGGAGGAGCCATCAAAGTCTCATTAAACTGTCATTAAACGCAAAGGTTTAGCTGTATCATCTGTTTACATTTACCTGTAATCGGCATTTGTTCAGGAAACAAAAGACCTGCTCACAGTTTCGTGTACAGCACTTTTGTCGCTTAGAATGCCTGTGAACTTTTTCCTCTATTTTCTCGAATTGTCTTCAAGTTTCACTTGCGGCCTTAATACTGTTTTTCATTAGTTAAACTGAGAGGGTGAAAGCTCCGATGAGAATGAAGCTGTTTTGATCCACAGGCTATGCAGAAACATTGAACTGAAGAAAAACTGCACATTCTGTCTTGATGAACTGGCAGATGTGCTGATGTGAAACATTGTGAGTCAGAAGCCGACGCTTCTAATGTAATGAAAGTGCATCTGATTGCAATCTAGTGAACAGCATGGAGAAGCTTAAATTGCATAACTTGAACAGGACTTAACTTAAAACTTTAAGGCAAAGCAGAGCTGAACACAATATTTTTGTTATTATCCAGATTCAATCCAGTCTGTCTTAATACCTGAATGCTGAAGTCTGTTATTACATTGTCGACCACAAGGGGGAGACAGAGACAGCTGTAGCCTCTCTTGACCGCCACCACCAACTCGCCCCGTCTATGCATTTCTCTCTTTCTTCAGCCTCTTACATCATCCAATGATGTCATGTTTATGGAGAGATATTAGAAATGTTATCAACAGTTTGACAACAAACTGGAGCGTTACAGAAAGGATTTGTCTTCTCCTTTCAGAATCATGAATGCGATGCATTTATAGCACATATTGCTTTGGTCTTGTGGGCTGAATGAATGTCAGGGTTGGGTCATTTAGAGCTTTGAGAGTAAAAGCAGTGAGTAAATGCGAGTGCGGTGGTTGGATCCCATAGCGCTGCGGCTGAAGCTGGCACTGTGGAGGCAGATGAAAGCAGCAGCGTAGTGTGTGGTGTTTGTTTTCCCATTGGCGTGACAGATGTTGAACCAGAAGTCTGGGAAAGTTGAACTGGAGGGGAAAGTGCTTCGGTTTGTCACTTCAGCAGTGGTGGAAACGATTGCGCTGCCTAGACGGGAGATTCCCTCCTGCCACATGTGCATGAGATTAGCTCTCAAAGGCGGGTATCAGTTCATGCAGCCAAACCCAATCCGTAGAACTGCAGAAGAATCTGTCCCCTTCTAATGCCCAAAGCCCTGCCCCTCTCGGACCAGCTGCCATCCCAAGTGCAGCTTCCTGTTTGGGGAAGAGTGCCGCTCCCATGGGTGGGTTGGTGGTGACGCCCATCCAGCTGCTGCCTGTCAGGCCTGTCCTGCCCCGGCAGAGGGAGTGGCTCAGTCATACAGCAGGGGGTTCCTGCATGCCAGGCTCATGAGCTGCTGTCATGTCACTCAGGTTGGAGTTGCCTTTTCTCTGCCTTCCCCCAACCAAATTCTAATAACTCACCTAACTGGGAGTGAGATTTCTCTTCTGATTTCTTTAAAGCCAAGTCGGGCAGTGGTTTTTTTTTGTTGATTTTTAATAGCCAAAATTTATTTTCAGGCAAACAAGACAGTAACACTGTTTATTTTTTCTTTACCCAAAACTCATACATTGTAACATAATTGAACACATTTGTATAAAATGGATGAAACATGGACATGCTTTAAATACTTAATTTCACATGAAGTATTCAGAGAGCATATAAGAATATATTGGGTTCTATCACATTTCTATTGCTTTTTAATAGCCAATGTAACAACATTTTTTATGTCATAAATTCACAACGCAGATTGGCCAAAATAAATTGTCCAATTTTTGCTTGCATGTTGGGAGCAAATATCAGCTAATTCTGGTCCTGCTCGATTCTGATGATCCATGCTTAAAGCTGCACAATGTAGGATTTTGGGATTTAGAGACCTCTCTGGTGGAAATGTGTAACTGCACACAATGTGTGGAAGACCATTTTGTAACGATGGTGGTGCTTCATACCCCCTCGAGCAGATGAATCTGACAATTGTGAGCGCGCTGAAAGAGAACTCGCTCAAAACTTGGAGAAGGATGTGTCTTCTGTGGATGTAAGAGAATTATCCACTATTGTCATCATATCTTCATCAGTATAATGATGATTTTCCAGTTGCGCATTGAATCGGACCTTCCCTTTGACTCTGTCTGATGTTAATACATACAGACGTATGATGTGGTCTGAAAAACTTGTGTGAAATCGGATCCAACGCTTCTGACTTTTAAATTATTATTTCAGGTTTTACAGGGCAACCATCAGCAGTGCATGCACACATGCACCTGTGTTTTTTTGGTCTCAGAAGAGTCTTAAGCCTGAATCAGGGATTTCAGAGCCGCAGTAGCATCCCTGGCACTGGAAGAAGTGGGCTTAAAATTCAGATACGTAAATGCCTCATTTCTCTGTAATTTGTAGCACAGTTTGTTAGATGTGTGACAAAAATGATTTGACAGTTTTACACTGATGGCAGTTTACAGATGAATCTGTGTCAGAGTGCCAGATTGCCAACGACGTGATCTTTGTATAAATGGTTGATGAAACATGCATGAATGTAAGGGTTAAAGGCTGGGGGTGCATGATTGGGATCGGCCATGATTGGGATCGATGTTTTTTCCAAACGTAATTGGCAGTTGCCAACATTTTGTTTTAATTTGACACATCTGTGTGGTAATTTCATGATGTAATTAACGTGAGGCTAGTAGTGCACTCGTGCTATATTTGAATGCTGCTGCACCTTTACCAAAATGTGGTAGTGTAATTATATATGACTTACTGTGCTATACAGCCTGTTTTCTCCTACTTTAGATATAACACTTCATTTAATGCATGTTAGTTAAATAGTGATTTTACAAAATTAAAATGCAAGTTTGGCCTGTTAAAGAGCAAATGATGTTATTTATATTGCAACATTGGTTAATACAAAGTACTAGAGATGTGCTAGTGTGTTCCTTGTGAATGAAAATCAGCCGAATAAATTATTCTCTGGCCAATTTATTGAGAACAAATTGTAGAACTTCAGAGTATTTACCTGGAATACCTACATAGAGAAATAAATTTATTTATGTAAGGTTACATATCCAGTAAAATCAAAGATGTTTGGATAGAGACAAAGTAGCCCAGCATTACCTAAACCATCTGACAGTAAACACATCATCAAATATTTGTTTGAAATATCTGTCAAATCTGACCATCTCTCCAATGCTTATCATTTTTCTGTAAGATATTTTCTGCCAATAATGATGTGATTCCAATATTATCGTGCATCTCTTCGTGTTTTAAAGAGTCGCATCGTGTATGTATATTGTCTTACCTTTTCTCACTCTGTTGTCTCACCAAGTGAATCAGTCTGTCAGTCTGACCGCTCAAGCTGGACAGTTCTGAAAGAGTCAAACACAGCCTGCAGGGCTCAGACAATATGTAATCCGCAACCTGAAACACTGACTTCAGCTTTTCCGCATTGAAAGGCTCTTGTTTGCAGCGTGGTGGCATTTCAGAATGACGTGATTTTCATGCACTCTTGATTTCAGCTTATCGTTTTGCATTCTCACCACATTGTAATGGAGACTTTTCAACAGAGGAAAGATGCAGCCTTAAAAAAGTCATCATTTCTAGTTCTAGTTCCTTGTGTTTCCTTTATCATTCGCTTTGTTTAGAAGTGTTTAATGAACTTATTTTGAACTCTGATGGACTGCATGTTCTTTCCCAACTATGGCCTGGACTGGTTTTTTTATGTCTCTCTCGAGCACCAACGGCTGTTGGAATTCAAAAATTTGCCTTTGCATTAAAAAATAAGCAGGCGAGGGAACAAATATTGGGCTATTCCCCAGACCCTGTGTTAGTGGGCTTGCAAACTCCACGGCCTGGAGTGTGTTCTAGTGGAAGCTGGAGATCAGTGAAGTGCCCCTGAGCAGCCTGTCTGTGGAGTCAACTAACAGCAGCAGCCAAGCTGGAGAAAAAAATACATTAAGTCTTCTCTTGGCCTCACTTGGGGACACAGACGGCTCACCTTGCATACCTATGGTGGATATGCACTGCCAGCTGGAGGAAAATTGCCTTTTGTAGGAGCATTAATGCAGACATGCATCCTGCTGTCAAAGCATCACTCTCCCTATAACTCCTCTCCCTACTGCGCCCTCTCTCCCCCCATCTCTCTTTCTCCATTCCAGTCTCCTAGTCTTTTTCTTTTCATTAATAACCGTCTGCCGTCTGCCTAGGAATAAGTTATTCCCTCCAACTGCCTCTCCTTTTAAGCCTGTTTGGACTCTCATTGTTTGATCTGGTGTGATAAATAAGACGAATGCAGTTAGAAATTCATGGCTGCTCTGTTTCATTAATAAATGATTAGTTTGCTGAGCTCTCTGGTGATTGATAGCTTGTGCAGGGGGGATGTATTGGAACTAGACGAATTCAATACGGCGTCAGTCACCAGGGAGCCACGAAGCATATCAGCTTGTGAAATATTGAGGTCAATAGAAAATATAAAGGAAAAAAAAGAAAGGAAAGGGGAGGAACAAGTTGGAGTTCCAAAACAGTTTTTGTATGATTAGAGATGGATTTTAAACCAACGTCAGTGGCTTAGTAATCGACAACCTGAATCAAAGTTATAGGCTTTGCTTGATGGCTGCTCCTTCTTCACTGCTGTAGTTCGCCGATCGACCGGAAGGCAGTGCAGACTCCCACTTCTATGCCAAACCTCACAGAGCCAAACAGCAGAGGCGTGGCTTGAAAATCCCACACCTTTTTACAGCACAGGGTGAGTGTAACAGTTATGCATAACTTTCTTTTTTTGTTTTTCCCCTCCCCCCTTCGCTAGAGCTAATGTGTTTCCCCTCCCTCATCACTGCCAGATCAAGTGGAGATGGGAACCAAGGCTGTTGTTTTGGTGGAAAGCAGCTTTATTTTCAGTGTGTGCATGTGTGTGTGAGATATTTCACGCTCTTACATGTGTGAGGCGCAAAACAGATAACAAGGCAGCGTGTGGTAGGGATTACTTTGAATTTGCAGGCGGTTCTCTAAAGACTACCTATGTCAAGGGAGCTCGCTTCCATTCCTGGATAGAACACTGCCTTACGAGATGAATATTAAACCATGCAAAAACTTCAAATACTTTAGAGCGCTGTAAATCATAGATGAGTTCAATCAGGCCATTTTGCTGAAAATGTATGCAGTAAGCCTTGTTAGCTGCACCAGGGAAACAAAATGCTCCAATTTTCTCCTGATAGAGAATCAAAATGTTCATAAGTTATTCAGCACAAATAGCACAACAAAACGAGGGTGTTTTAGACATAACATTGACTCCCTTCCCCTGTTACATGCGCACATTGTTAAATTATTACTGCCAAAACATGACAATTAGGGTCGGCATTATCTGTTGCCTGGTACCTCTGGCCACAACTTTTCACATTTTGGCCACTAAAAATGCAGAGCTTGTGGCTCAAGTGGCCACTTGCCTTTTTGATTTATTTTTTCGCCTTTCAACAAAACACCAGGCTGGTTACGTTTGCAAACATTCACAAATATGCACCATTAATATCAAAACAACTACTTTCACCCTCCTGAGCAGAATCCAGAGCCTGTTTGGTCAGACATGGAATTGTGTCCAATTAAATTCTCTCACCTTACTGTCGTGATACCAAACGTGACAGCTTGTTTCTAGAACTACTAGCATTATATCATAGCGGGTTTACTGCCAGTACCGACAATATAAATATAAAAGATCTGGAAAATGATGAAGACTAGAAACAACAAAAAAAAGAAGTAATAAGAATCAGGAAGTTCGGAGTTGTATGTAAGAAAGAATTCATGTGGTTGGAGTGTGACTTTGAGAAAGATGTGATGTTCTGTCAAGAACTGTTTCTACAACATACAATATCATTCTTTATGAAGAGTAATTCAATTAGATAAAACATTATATTCAAAAGCATGGCTCCAAATTTTTGACTGTTGCTTTAGCACAATGATGTTTAGTGATCCTATAACAATCTTTGTGTATACTGTGGAAAACAGGGATCTCTTTACGTCATTCCTAGTTTGACTGATATAATAGAGTGAACGTGGGGGACTTGTAGCAAAAAGCAGCATCTGACAGGTTTTTGGTACTGAAACATGCTTGTTAATTGTAAATACATTGTATATATGATAAACATGTCTGTAATTCTGTCTAGAAATTGTTAGTTTGAGAGGACAAGTGATATAAATAAAGTTTCAGGAGCATTTTACCACTCTAAGTGCATCACCTCTCCTGGATCCTATGAGGTCATTCAGTGAGTAATTGCGGGCGCTGTGGAGCTGCCATCATTTCACACATAAGAGCCGAGCCAGCAGTCCTAGTGATGGAGTTGAATTTCCCTGGGCCGCGTCGAGGCCGCATTAGTGCCGGCCGGGATGTCTGCAGCCAGGCTTGTAAAAGGCGCTCTTGCCTGGTCTCCAGCTCCTGCTCTGGACACTTGATCATCCCATGTGGCAAAGCATTCTCATAATGCCATCGCTAATGGCAGAAACTGAAAGAAAAAAAAGCCAAGCATAGGCGTCCTCTTAACTACATCAGTTACTGCAGAGGGGTAATAAAACATGCCATATGCGTGAGTGCTGTTGACATCACCAATTGCAGGAGGAGTGCATATCCTTGCAGCCTATCATTAGCACAGATTGTCTTACCTTTGAATGTCAGAAGCAGTGACCAGCGTAGTTTGTGTCTCCATGAAAAAAGCCAGGCTATTAAATGTGCTGTGAATTGTTTCGCTTGGGTGAAGCTAATTTGATGTTTGGGACGATGCGGTAGACTTGCGGTTATTGACTTAATCTAATGCCGTCTATACCACTAGGCCTTTCATTTTGGATTGATTTTGTTTTTCATTGGTATAGATTGTCATCATGTTCCACATTTGAGTTCAGCTATTGATAGCTTTAGAAACTATGTAAGCTGATTCAAAGTAAGAGCCGTTAATTCCATCACTGAAGCTGTGTTATCCATGCTGTAAACCTGTCTGCCAATAACAAAGGAAATCTTTTAAAAGATTTTGGCAAGTCAGCCCTTCATCATTTACCTTTGTTCAGATGAATTCATCAATACTGTTTCTGTGTCTCCTTACTGAGACTGAATGTTGAAGTATTATTTAAATGAATTATCTGCTGTTTGATAATTGAACCACCATTTTTGTTGTGACTTTGATCATTCATGAAATTATTCTGACACTTAGCTTACTTTCCTGTTTTCTGTTCTGCTACACTATACTGATGCCTTGGATGCTGAATTTTGAATTAACTTCCAAGAGCACCATCAGGGAAATCAAACTTTTCAATAGCCACTCCCTTCATTTAAGCTCTAAACAAATAAGGGATTTGACAGGGGCATTGATCACATTCACTGCTGCAGGAAAAAAGAAGGAGAGATAGTGTAGAATGGCAGGATCCTAAGACCCAAGTAACTGTGATTAATTACCCTCCTCAGAGGACAGCGTATTCCAAGCCAAAAACAAAAGGAAGGAAATGGTGGGCGTGTCTGAGGTGCGAGAGGATGGCAACACAAAGATGGATCTGCCCATAGATCAGGTGAGGGGACTGAAACACACACACACACTAAGGCTGCACAATAAATTGTTTGTTGATTTTTGTTACAGTATTGCAGTACTGGCCTTTGCAATACTGAACTCAGAGGAGGCTACAGTGTGCAAAGGTTTACTGTGTGCTGTGAGCATCTCAGACATTCTGATGTGATTCTGTGGGTATTTTGTTATTTTGGTGAATTGGTACAGTCATGTGATCCAACAAACGATCATTTTGGTGAAATAATGCAATTTTTTTAAATACGATGTAGGCATATCACAGTTACTATGTGTGGAAATCAGGGCTATCAAACCAGTATTTAATCGCAAATAATCTTTTTTTTTGATAAATCACAACCTACTTTCACTAATTTAGTAATATTTTCATCATGTGAATGCAGTGTTTACATGAACTTGAACTTGAACATGAAAATCATGTGATTTCTATATGGTTGATGCCAGTGATAGCAACAGTGGCTACATGTCCCAACCAATAGAGTATATACACTATAGAGTCAAAAGTATGTGGACACTTCTTTTTATTGAGTTCAGGTGTTTCAGCCACACTCATTGCTAACAGATGTGTGAAATCAAACACACAACTATGCCATCTCCATAGACCAACAATGGGTTGTACTGAGGAGCTCAGTGAAGAGAATGTGGCACTGTCCTAGGATGCTACTTTTGGCCATACAGTGTATCATATATATCATATATAGTCATTGGTTCCAACTCCTCTCACCCTTGTTCTCGTTCACACAGCTAGTGGATTCTTGTTACAATAGAGACTCTCGAGCAAAACTGCTGTCCACTTTGCTGTTGATTTTGTTAGTTTGCTGCTTGTTGATTTATTCTTAGTTTTCCCATGAGCACTTTCCTGCAGAATTACTGATCTTGTCAGTGTTGTGTTGAATTTGGAACTCACCTTCACATGCATGTGTGTCTTGCGGGCATATGGAGGGTACAGATGGATTTTTGAGATTTTCTGTTCAAAAGTAGCATCAGTGCTGTGTTTTGCCTGTAAATACTTCAGATTTGATGCACTTTGTTAATAAACAAATTCACCAGAGCAGTAGCTAGAAATAACTTTTGTTAAGCGAGCCATAAATGAAACTTGCCATTTTAAAGCTGTATTTCCTCACAGATCGAAGCCAAAGTGGTTGAAGAGGAACTGTATGTCTACAAATATCCCCGACCAACGAATCCAAATCAAAGCCCTCACAATGCCTTGCTCAGAGGTTCTGATGCAGACAGTACTCCAAGACTACCGTCCAACGTTTCTTATAAGGTCTTTGGCTGTTGTTATCTTATGGAGTTAATAACAGCATGTTATTTGTTTAAGCTATACTGTGTAGGATTAGGGCGTTTTTCAGGATGTGAGATCAGGCGGAAATTCTAAAATTTTCATTATTATCATGCAAATTGCCACTTCATTAAGACGGTAAGTTTAAGTTGATTATTTATTTCATTTTAATTGAGTAATGGAGTTTAATTGAAAAATCATGACAGCCATACTACTAAAGCCTACTGACTATGCATACCAAAGGCTTGTAAAATTGCACTGAATTTCACTCTTGATCTGTTGTCACTCACAGCTAAAAATACCAGGGCATGACTTTATAATGTTGGTAAGTGAAGTGTCTATTGCTTGTCTGACAGACTTCAGTAAATGGCTCTGCTTCAGGAGAGTCAGGGAGAGGCTCTCACCTCACCATGCCCAGAGGGCAGTCTGGGTTGGAACTGGAGCACAAGGTACGGAACTCATGCTGCTTGGAATTTATAGAGGCTGTTACGATTTCATTTGTGGCATATAGCCTGAAACTAATCACAGTCTTTCATGTCCCCTGCTCTGCTCTACACATGCGATTGCTGTGCTTATGAGAAGACATAGTCTGCTTTTCTTCCTACATCTAGCCTCAGAAAATTGTCCCATTTAGATACCGGGCCCATTCTGGTCTGGTAATCTCCGTCTTTTAGCGGTGTGAATCTCATAACGTTAATGAACATACACAACAGTGAATATTACAATGCCAAGCAATTTCACACTTCTTTTGAAATAGAGGGAGATATTGAGTCTTATTTAAACAATCAATAACGTACAGCATTGTGTTTAATGAAAACTATAATTTCAGACAAAGGCAATTACACCACTGGGTACTGTTTTGGTTGGTGATTTTTGCTGTAGTCCGCATTTTCATAATAAAGATATTCTTATCGAAATAATTATTGACTGGGGACCGCAGTTATTACCTTGTTAAAGGCCTCATCAATAGTCATATTCATTACTTATCACATTTAGTCACATGCAGAGATGGCTGAATCAGAGGTGCTATAGATCCAGTGAATGGCAAGCGTATAATAGCGGCAATTCTCTGTACTCCTCACACGGCTAATTGGCAGACTCATCATTGCTGCTCAAAACAATATTTGATTTAGTGGCAGACGAGGTGGCCCTTTGATGACTGCACTGTTCAGACTCATTCAATCCACTAAAGACATGTAAGTGCTAATCAAGTAGGGCGCGCACAAAGGAACTGTGCAATATTAACCATTAAGCATGTTCACTCTACACTCTGCAGTGCTCAATAAATATTCTCTTGTTGAAGGCATGTATTCCCCATGCACACATATTGGCTGAACAGTACTCTCCGCCTGTCTAACTATGTTTATAATTCAGCATCATAATACATGAGTATGGCCTGCGAGCGGATCTATGTTTCAGGGGTTTGACAGTAATATGTATATTGTGGCACTAGTGTTGGAGTCTGACTTATTGTTGGGCTGCATATGCTTATGGCTGTGCATGGTGAAATGACTTATAGTACCAAATAAAGTTATGTGGCTGATATATCTCTATATCAGTCATGTATGAACTTATCACGTAAATTCAACATCTAGAAAAACAGTTAAAACCTATACAAATACTAGCTCTTGTTATTCAATCTATCAGAACTGTTATATTTGTAAATGACAGGGATTTATCATCTTCTAAAAATGTTTTTTTCCATTGTACATTCGAAAACAGGACAAGGACCAGGAACCAACAAAGCTTACAGTTCTAGTTCAAGTTCTTTTTATACCTGCTTGACAGACTGCTATAACCATCCTACTAATCGCAGTTAACAATTAATTTGTCTTTTTGGTCACTTATGCTGTAATAATGTGTCTAATCTGGCTAATTAACTACCCTCTTAGCTAGTTAGCTCAACTAACTGGCTGACATGAAACAATATTCTGCATGCAAATATTCCTATAAATATGTTTGGTAACACCTCTGCCTTCTACTCTGTAGATTGGGGTTCAATCCGCTGCCTGGGCAAGCACCCTATATTATACCAACCAAGAGTCCTTGGGCAAGACTCCTAACACTGCCTTTGCCTACCTGTGTAAAATGATCAAATTGTAAGTCGTTCTGGATAAGAGTGTCTGCCAAATGCAATAAATGTACTTTTACTCAGATTCATGTAAATTTCAAGCAAAGCTTCAAACTGGCTCTGCTGAGCGTGAAAACATTAGTGAAACACTTGTTCTGCGAAGGCTGGCCTAAATGTTAATACCATTAGCTTCCTAACTAGCTTATGTCAACCTGGCAACCAGAAAAAGTAGTCAACACAACATTCTACTTTACATTCGAGTGCACTCATTGGTCATGCAATAGTGCTAGGTGACTTTATCTTCACTTGGAAGTAAGTAGCTGGAGTGAAGAATATTCCAGTTCATTGCTGGTTTCAGCTGCAAGTGTTACCAAACACAAAGGAGAGCACCCACAAGCATCATTTGGTATTGTCAGAATCAGTGTTGAACAGCTACCACAATACATAGAACTGGAACCTTTGGTGCTGGACTGATTGCAAACGGAAAAAGCACAGATCCAGTTTTTTGATGTAAAAGGATCCGGTATTTTTAAAACACGCTTAGATGAGAAACCTCTCTGTTAGATGGTCTAGTGAGTACAAGCCAGCCCTGTTGATCTTTGCTTAATATAATTCAATGTTATGCCATATTCAGGGATAAATAACCTTATGTCACAGTTGAAGCAGGTCTGAATGGTATTGCGTTTCACTGCTGTCTTATCAATGAGACGCCTATGCTCTTTATTGATGACCAATTTCAATTATATGATTGTGTTCTAGTCAGAACAGGCCATCTGCTTAAAAAATACCCAGCTTAAATTGCATTACCTGGGTTAATATCAAGGCACTAAAGCCACCTTCATGGAAATAATACATGCACAGCTATATTTCAGAAACCTCAACAGATATTTTGTCTTGTGGTAAAACTCATCAGTCCAGCAAATAAATTGTTGAACATGATGTGCATGAGTGAGAGAGAGAGAGGGAGGGAGAAAGACAGAAAAAGAGAGATGCATCACAATATCATTTACCACAAGACATTCCTGCTCATTCTTCTGTACATTTTCTCTGTAACAGTCGTTATTTTTTATTTTAAGGATACTAGCTGATTTATCAATCAGTCAGCTAAGCAGTTTTTCTTAATTAATATTGTTAGATATGCCAATGTGTCCAGGCACGTTTGATCAATCGTCTTCCTCCTCCACCAGAGTTTTGTGATAAAAAAATCAAATACATATTGATTGCCTTATTGATCCTCCTTTTCTCTGCCAATACAATATCTGCTCATTTATCTTCTGTTCTTTCTGGCTACAGTTGCCCAGCTTAGGCTAGCTGTTTCACACGCAAGGTCAACTATAATCAACCCCAGACTATGCCATGCGCTGTGGCTGCCGCATGCACCTCTCCGCCCCACAGTAGATAGGCCTTCTGCAGTCTACCATTCAATTACTGTTTATTAAGGAGAGGAAAGTCATTAATCAGGCTGAGATGCACAGGATTTCCTCATTGGGTCATCGAACCACTTAAGAAAACATAGCCCATCTATCTCTGGTTCATGTTCCTGAGACACTTTAGTGCTAGCACATACTCTAGGCCTGTATGTTTTTCCTCTTGATAAGCTTTTTACTCCTTTTCTTCTTGGCTCAGTTTGTGTTTTCCACATTTGTGAGTTAAATACTGTAAATGTATGTACAGTAACAAGAAGCTGACATCACATTATAGCAGAGGTGGTAAAATTTTGGGTTTTTTAATCTGTTTATGGACGAGTTTTTTGCAGCTCCTTTACGATGAAAGGAAAATAAAAAAAAACACACAAAAACCAAACTGTTCATATATCCAGTCATATTGCAGATGAAATTGTGGAAATCCCAGTGTATCTATTCATATTGTAGTTGAATGTGTAAAAGAATGCATGGTCTTCCACTTAAGAAGACACTCTGGTTAGACTACAATATATCATTTTAAGGTGGAACCTGACAGGTTCGCTGAATGAGGAACATGCTGCATCGAAATGTAATTAGATCAAAGAATGAGATTCTGATTTATGTTTGCAGGACACTAAAGGGGAGGAGATGTCCTCCAAGCTGCATGGAATACGGTCACGGATGTCAAAGTTTTTCAAGGGTAGGTTCACGAAAGCTGCGTAACATCACATCCTCTGTTCCTGGCGCGCAGCAGAACAGGATCCAGCTATAAAGGGACCACTAATACACTCTACGCACTACCAGTTTCCTTCACATGTCACCAGAACCTCATCCACTGGGTAAAATCTTGGAGAGCTTCCATTCATTATAGATACCATCTGGGTTCCTCCTCAATTTCAGATGTCTTTGGCCTGTATTAAATGCACCTGTGTATGTCCGGAGGATTTTTTTAAATCTCACTGCTTTCTCTCAGATGTTGCTATATCTACCACAAAAGTGCAGTTAACACCTAAGTGGTCTATACATGTAAGACCAAAACACAAAACCTATTTCTCTTCTTTATTCTGTCTTTCCTTTTTCGTACTTAATGATAGATCAGAAACCTTGACAAACAACAGATTTCCTAATTAAAGTACATTTCCTAGCCCGGCTCTTATTACAGGTAGACCTGTTCCCCTCCATGATGGTGCAAGCCATTGCAATGCTATGTGCCTTGCATCTTATATTAGCAATTTATTCCTAACAGATTACAAAGCACAGAGGTAGCAAAGGAGGTTGTTAGCTCTGCTTGTGGCTATTGTCTGTGCTGAATTCCACAGGGTAGCGTAAGTGAGGCAGTGCTGGCCTCCTGGGTGGACATTACCACTCTAATCTAAGGCCCATGATGTATGCCAAAACAATCCCAACCCCCACCGTGCTCCGTCCTGTCTGTTAGGCTCAGAGCGTGCTGCTACCTCTCTCTTGAGTTTTGTATTCCAACGCTGCTATTAGCCATATTTTCCTCATCCTCCTCCATATCTCGGCTCGATTGGTTGGACTTTAGGGCTGTCACGCACCCGGAAGGGATGAAGCATGCAATTTATGGACTTGTCTCCTGGCTACTGAGAACCCTGCTGTGGTGGCATATTTGACACGCATTATTGTGCATCCTGGATAGTGTATTCTCTTTCCATGACTCTTATCAACTTTAGGTTGGGTTTTATTAAAAAAAAAAGGGTAAGAAGCATATCACACATTTATAATAGTATATTGTCACTGTCTTAACTAAGCTAAATGGAAATTATAGAAGAAGGAGAAACATTCTTAATTCTTATGCTTAATGAATGCAACCTTATTTCAGGCTGTTTAGGACCATCTGTCTGACATCTGAAAATATTTTCATATAATGATATAACTATGGGGGCGGCACGGTTGCACAGTGGGTAGCGCTGTCGCCTCACAGCAAGAAGGGCCTGGGTTCGATTCCCAGCCGGGTGACCAGGGTCATTTCTGTTTGGAGTTTGCATGTTCTCCCCGTGTCTGCGTGGGTTTCCTCCGGGTACTCCGGTTTCCTCCCACAATCCAAAAACATGCAGTCAGGCCAATTGGACGTGCTAAATTGCCCCTAGGTGTGAATGTGTATGTCTGTCTGTCTGCCCTGCGATGGACTGGCGACCTGTCCAGGGTGTATCCTGCCTTCCGCCCAATGACAGCTGGGATAGGCTCCAGCACCCCACCGCGACCCAGAAGGATAAGCGGTTTAGATGATGGATGGATGGATGGATGGATATAACTATGTGGTTTGTTAGGTGTGTAGACAGTCATTTTGAGTGAGTATAGTATGTATCTTGTTCTGAGGACTTTAGAATACTCTATAGTAAAGCCATGTACATATATGCTTGCTTTTAATCTGTTTTGCTGTTGTCATGTCATAACATAGTTAGGTCTACAAGCTGTAATTGAAAAGGAAAGCTGTTGGAAAGAAGGGAACCTGTTTCATATGAAAATGTCTAGCTGCATACCAGGCTTGCCTTGGCAGACAGAAAGATCCCTGGAGTGATTTCTTCCATCTATGTTTCTTTTTTGGTTTTGATTGGGGCCAGAGCGCTCTGTCCTGTGCCACTGAAGGAACGTTTCTCCTTCAAGAGTTATTGGGAAATTTGAACAGCGGTCACATTGTATATTATGACTGAAAGCCTGACTTGTAAAACATTGTGTTTAATTTGAAATCTGAAGACAGAGCTTTCGGTCATGTGATAAGATCCTGAATTGTGACTGTGGATATCATGTCTTATGAAGTTTGATGGGGTAATGCCATGTTCAGTGATTTCCTTAGCAAAAGAGTGATGACTTGTTTTTCTTAACATGAGGGACAGGGGGACTGTGCCTGATTGTCAGGTGTTAGGACAGTTTACTTTTATGTCTAATATAAATCATGAAGCCTCTGGAACATTAATCTGTAAATGATGTGTTATTTGTTGTGAAAAAGTATTTATACTGCTGTATTGAAATCTGTTGCTGTAAAACTGAAATTTATATCTATAAGAACGCATAGATCAGTTATTTGCCTCTCATGCCTTTAACCGAAAGTTTTATTTGATTTTTTGTTAAACCTCTTTTAATCCATCAGTTAAATTTAAAAAATATTTTCCTGTTTTAAATATGTTTATTTCAGACAAAAGCTAACAGTAACATCCACCTTAAGAGCAAAAGAAGGAGGTAAGACTTCTGTTTTTTTTTTTCTTATTTTGACATCATGGTTGATGAAAACACTGCTGGAGTGTTTGCATCAAATGCAAAACCAGTACATTGTTGAGTTGTCATTGTTGATGTGCTTTCATTTACCATATCCAAGACTTCAAACTAGGCCTTTGTAATGCTTTGTTCACTTTAAGGTTAAATAGGCCAATAGCTATAGTAGAGTAAATCAACCTCACTGTTCCTGCTGGGGGTTTCCTAGCATGCAAGTTACCATCTAAGGAAAATTCTTAGCATTAAGCTTAAGCATTCCTAGTTATCTATGGTTAAATTCCAGAGCACCTCCACTATAATGATGGAAAAAAAACATTTTTTTAACATATATAAAGCATGTGGCCATGGCTTTGGAAGTCACTCACTCACACATGTTTAGCCGTTTGAAGGTTCTCCAAAAGGGAAGCTAATGGCATGCCAGTCACTTTTGTGTATGTCATTTAAAGAGAAGAAAAAAGAGAAGCCACACAAGAAGCAGCTCACAAATGCAGGTGTTAGCAGTCACAACTTTAAAAATGAGAAGTGAAACAGTTTTACTACCAAAAGATGTGGTGTTACTCAGTATTATATTGTGTGGCTTTAAATATTTTCATTGAATCAGTTAATGCTAACAAAACATATAAACTGAAGATAGCAGGAGTGTCTGATGTGATTTAGTTCCCTTTAAAATGAATAAAACAGCTATGATTTAGTATATAGCACTGGATTACATGGGGGGGAAAATGAACAAATGTAAAAACATTTTAAAAGTTTGTAGAAATATATTCCTCATTTTTAAAGCCAGGCTGTAAACAAGCATATTCATGACAAATATGAGGCGTGAAAACATGAAAAACACGTTCTTTGCTAATTTTTCAGAGAAGCCAAGGCAAGACCAAATGGTTTTGCCAGCACACATCACACAAACACTGTGAAATCCTGGAGGAGCTGATTAAAGGCCTTCAGAACTTCTCCCTGAGCCGTAGCTTCTGACATGGAGAAAATAATGTTCCAGAGACCTTGCATAGAGGATCTGCCCTAGCAGATTGAGGAGACAGGGCTGTCTCTGTGTGATCTCTGCTGCTGTTCTGATGATGGGCCTTGTGAAGTTACCACTGCCCAGTTACACATTAGCTTTGATTGCCAGTTTGCTCTGTTCGAAGCCAGCTTTGAACTGCATCTCAAGATGAAAGCCAAACTTGTCCAGTGTGTCCACTGTAGCAGCAGTTCCCTATTTGCTTCAGGCTCCATCAAGAGCTTCGAGACTCTTTCCATGCTGGGATGAACATAATGTATAATTTATCACACAATGCATTGCAGATAGTCTTTCTCTGCCACACTCTAATTCTGGTGCCATTTCTGTCTCTGCTGTTTACAGATTCTAAGATAGACATTTCTGTTTTTATTTTACAAGGTAAGCCTTTGTTGCTTTTCATGCACTTTGATATTTAGCTCCTGGAGCTGCGAATGAGTGCCAGATTACATGTTTTCTTTTATTCCACAGGAATTACGTGGGACAACTCGGAGAGCCACTGTACATGTAGGAGACATATAACCTTCTCAGTCACCCACACTGTCTTGGAAGAAATGAAACAGTGTTATATAGCAAATAAATTTGTCTTTATATTGACAGCCCCACTGTGGATAGAAGTTCTTATATCAGGAATGTATTGCATAATTATGAATTGCTATGAATATTGCATGGGCCCTAACGCTCGCTGCATAGTAAGTTGCCTAATTGCAGGAATTAATTATTAAGAAGCAAAGGTCTTGAGTGGGCCTCACTGTGGCACTTTTGATAAATTATTTTATGTATTTCTTTTTTAATCTGACGAACTTTTAGAGGTGGGGAGGTTCTGACATTCTGCTAAATCAGCAAGCTCCATGTGGAGGATGATAACTGCTCTACAGAGAGGCTTGGTGTCCCTCGAGTGGGATTACTCTACTGATTAAAGCCAATAGAATCATCTAACAACGTTGCTATGCTGGAGAGGATCAACAAATTAAGCATGCTGCTCCCATAGACTAGTTCCTATGTAGAATGAGGGGTTGTCATTGACCTGCAGGTCATGGTTTAATATCTTTGTTTAACATCTTCACATTAATAGGGAATACAAAACAATGCTTGTGTCCCCATACTCCCATCTAAGTAATTGTGCCGCTACTCTACTATGTAAATAAAGAGCTTTTAGAAGGACACCTCTTGGCCTTCTAAAGATCGTCCTTATTAAAATCCTGTTGATAAAGTGTACACAAGCATGCTAATTGAAGGTCCCTCCGCTTACAATGCATTTAATCTGAATAGCACACTTAAGTAATTGTCTAGGTGTTCTCCAGACACAAAAATAGAAATGATAAACAAAAGAATTTGATTGAATGCTGCACATCTACACTATATGTCTGAAAATATCCAGACACCCCTTCAAGTTAGTGAATTCAGCTACTTCAAGGTGTACACATACCTCGTAAAATCTCCATAGAAAAGTACTGCAATCAAAATGAGCCGCTCTAGCGCAGCCACACATGCCCATTGGCAAGAGTCAGCATTAGTCTATGGAGCAGTAGAACTGTGTTCTCTGGAGTAATGAAAAGGCATCCAATACCTTTGGGATTAGTTGGAGTGGCATTTGTGATCCAGAACTAGTCATCCAACATCAATACCCACCCTCACTAAAGTTCTCATAAAACATCAGAAAAAGCTCTCCAAAAATCAGAATAAAAGGTTATGTTCTGTGTTTCAGTTGTTGTTCTTTGAAGAAGAAGTGATGGTGCTGCAAAATAACTGACTTTACTGTCCCAGTACTTAAAAAGAACATTGCTACCTGACTCCTGGGACAGCAACGTAAAACAACACCGCATATAAAATCAGCAGTAGTGTTTTATTGTATACCATCTTGTGGCATGGGCCTGTTCCCTGGGCCCTGATGACGGCTGCGGGAGCCGGCAGGAAGGCGGCGCTTTACGAAGGTATCGGGGAGAGGATGAAATTTGCGAGGAAGTGGGGTGCGGCGAGCGAGTCTGGAGCCCTGCCTCCTGGCCACCACCTCCAGTCCTGCCTTACTGCTGGCTCTCGTGGTCGTCATTGGGGCCCCTGGGACGGGTGCTTGCTGTACATCTATAATGATATATTTAAGAGTCTTGTCTGGTCTTTAACTACTTGGTCTCT